GGGGGGGGGGGGGGGTGGGGAGCGACTCGGGAGGTTGGCCAGCTGGCCCTGCCCCCTGGTCGAACTCCTGGTCAAACTCCCCATTGAGGGGACAATTTGCATATTAGCCTTTTTTTATATAGGATATACATTACCTATAGACAGACAATAGGGTGGAGAAGGCCTGGGGTGGGGCAGGGTGGGTGGAGGGGGGCAATGGAGGGAAAAAAGAGGGACATTTGTAATACTCTCAACAATAAAGTTTTTTTAAGTATAAAAAAGAAGCAGTCGGAAATAAAGAATACATCTGATATCAAGAATACACTAGAAGGAATAAAATAAAAAATAGGTTGGCCATGGCCTGTGTTGCTCATTGGCTAATCAGGGAATTGGACTGCTCACCAAAGGGTTGAGGGTACGATTCCCAGTTAAGGGCACTACCTGGGTTGTGTGTTCGCTCCCCATTTCCAGTCAGGGGGAGTGCAGGAGGCAGCCAATCAATGTGTCTCTCTCACATCGATGTTTCTCTCTCGCTCTCTCTCCTTCCCTCCCTCCCTTCCACTCCTTCTAAAAAGCAATGGAAAACGTATCCTCAGGTGAGGATTAACAACAACAACAATAAATAAGTAGGTTGAATGAGCAGAGAATTGAATCAGTGATTTGGAAGATAATGTAGAAAAAAAACCCATGCAATCAGAGCATCTAAAAGAAAATGAATTTAAAAGAATGTGCATTGAGAGAACCAAGATGGTGGCGTAAGGTACAGACCTGTGTGTGCTGTCTCCCACAACAACATCGAGACTACCAACTATAAAAGAAACAGCTGTCATTCAGAACCATGGGAAAGCTGGCCCAGTGGAAGCTCTACAACTGGAAGGAAAGAAAGAAGAGCATTGAGACTGAGTAGGTTGTGCAGAGGCTCCAAGAACGGAGGTACGGAATCGTGCGCCAGGCTGGCTGCAACTGGATTCGCGGTTTTTTTCAACCAGAAGGGGAGGCGGACTATCAAATCCACTGAGTGTGGTTGGGGCGGGATGCTAAGCTCCCAGACCCCTACGGGGAGAAGCGGGACGGCCTTGCAATGACCCGGAGAGTGAGAGTGGCTGTCTCGCGGAGCTGCTCGCCAGCACTGGGCACTCGGGGACGCGAGACACGGAGTCGCAGAGAGGCGAGGAGTCGCGGAGATGCCATTGCCCTTGGCCCCCGCCCTGGTGATTCCCGGGGACCCCGCCCTACTCAAATTACATCCTCAACCAAGCTGTGCTAGTGAAACAAAGAGAACCACCGACGTTTTTGCAGCCCAGCCCAGCAGAATGCAGATTTCAACTCCTCACATACATAAGGGACACACTCAAGAAGCAGAATCAGGTTCGGAGGAAGCCGGAGCCGGACCCAGCTTGGCCAGTGATGTGGAACCGCTGTACCAGCAAATGCACAGGCAGACCCACCAGATCCAGTCTCACATGGGACGCTGGG